ATGTAGAACTAGTGAAAACTTTGTATTGAATTGTGATCAATTGTTAGAACTGTGTCGCCAGTTTTTGTGTTTGGTCATCGTTAACTGTCATGTCGGAGTCGTTTATTACTTATATTTGTAAAACGAGGAACCACTATAATTCCCACGACATGAAGTAAAAAAACATTAACACTAGTACATAAGAAGATTTATTAACTCCATAACACGATGACGATGACGACGACGACGCTACTAGTTGAAAATACACTCATTTATATATTGATTATACACCCATTTTGCTTATGAATTGAAATGAAACCACATATATCCGGAGTTGTAACAAGCCAAATGATGAATGTCATACTGAGCATAGTGCATGTTAACACAATACAAGGATATTATATCATGAACGAACACATTACACTTAAATAAACTAATGTTATACTGAAGAAAATATCAGACAGGAAAACATATACTACACTGAATAATCATCATATAGAATTAAAAACGAAAATAATGTTAAGCAAGAATTACAAGGGTTAAAAGAATGTATTTTTACCTTTTCATCTTATCATATCAATACTGATGAGTCTTAACAAAACTATCTATCGATTGATAGCCGCCTGTATGTTAGAAGATTAATTACTGATTGTTAAATTGCCCAGGTTATTTTGTGAGTGTCAATGATGACCTTGTAGCGTGGCGTCGACTTACGGTTGACAATACACATCACTACAAGAAGACTACATGCCAGTTAACCAATAAGATCCCCGTAGGTTAATATCAGAAGGCAGATGATAGCTGTAGTCGAGATGTATTTGTTAGCGATCTCATGGTATCGAAAGAATACCGAGATCGTGCCAAGGAGTACAAGCGGATTCACTGAGGAAACGTAAGCGCGTACAAGGTCACAATCAACGGAAGAAAGAATGTCTTTGATAGAGTTAAACAAACAAGTACAGTAAGAAGATCACTGGTACAGCACTTAATCACTAGAGCAGTGATCCGGCCAACGTCCAACGGTGTTAATGTCTAACTTCAACTAATCCACGAAATTGAGCGACACATCCTTCATTGTCATCAGTGAGGTAATTGTTGCTCATTAAGTAATATTAGGTAAAAAAAATCACCCACTTGGTATTGTTTAGCTTGTATCTTCCCATTGAGGTTTAAGACTGAAATTAATCAGTCTGTAATTGGGTTCTAGTCTCAGAGTGAACATCAACAAGTCTGTGATACAGGTACATTCAGCTAACGAGTCCTGAATAGGATGAAACGCGCGTCAAACTGGATTTCACTGCTAGCCACTATCCATCATTGCTTATAAAAAATCACCCAGTTTTAAAATCGATGATATTATCATTGAGTTTTTAAAATTTGTTTAAAATTGTATTATATTGATAATGACTTTAAGTGGATAGGACATACATTAAGGAAAGCATCCAACTGCGTCACAAGGCAAATTCACACTTAGAATCCTCAAAGTCAAAGAAGAAAAAGAAGATCAAAGAATACATTACGCAGAGAAATTGAGACAGATTTGAGAAGAATGAACAACAATTAGATAGATTTAGATAGGAAGGCTCAGAACAGAGTTGATTAAAGAATGCTAGTCGTCGACCTTAACTTTCATTCTAAGTAACAGGAGCAAGTAAGTAAGTAAGGAAGGAAGGAAGGAAGAAAGTAGGGAAGGAAGGAAAAGAGAAAGAAAGAAAGAAAGTATAACAACTAGTTACCTATTCAAATAATTTCAATTATTCTATAATCTTATACAATGATAATCTATTCACATATGTATTAATCCACTTATAACATTTAAGTATCTAATGGAATAATCTCGATGATAGCTTTTAACATGTCATATTTATTAGATTATTATCCTTATATATGAATATGAAGGGTAGGCAATTTTGATATCACAGAAAAAAAACAAAAAAAAAAAAACAGAATGATCAACTTTTTAACTCATCTTGATTCATATTTATGATATGATACCCTTCCATATTTATTATAAAACACATTGGATTCATTTCATTATCACTTGGCTAAGAGTTGATATGAGAAAAAAGAAAAAAAAGAAGACGACAGACAAAATAATTACTCTATAGAGTTTGTTATAAAGTTATATTCATACTATTGATAATAATAATAATAATAATTTAGTTTATTTAGCATACTGAAGTTGATTTAGTTTTAATACCAATGGATTATAATCTAATGAAAGATTTGAAAGTTGGAACTTCATACTACAGAAAACAATATAATACTATTGTGGTGTGTGTGTGTACTACTTATATCGATATAAGTAGTATATAACACGAGTCAGGAATAGAATATCTGGCAGTAGAAGATCCAAAAGAATAGAACGGGAACAGTAAGTGATTAGTATGGAAATGAAGGAACATTGAAATCTGAATTACTTACTTACTTACTTACTCACTTACTTACTTACTTAATTACTTACTTACTTACTTACTTACTCACTTACTTACTTCGTTACTCACTTACTTACTTAGTTACTCACTTACTTACTTAGTTACTCACTTACTTACTTACTCACTTACTTGCTTACTTACTTACTTAAACCTGTTACTTACTTTCAATGGATCATAGGTCACCGATCATTAATTGAAGTCTGAGATGATTGATTAACCCTATTTCGAATTAATTATTCACTGTATGATTTACAGATTTTATAAAGATGTTCTCAAATACGTTCGATGAATATTAATTTATTTTTTATATATTTTTTTAATTAGAATGAATCTAAGGGAAAAACTATTTTTTTTTTCTAATTTAATGAATTTGATAAAAATAATTAAAATTTTGTTTTATATGTAGTATAGATTTAAAGTAATTATTTATTGAGTTGGTATGGTCAAGGATGGAGAGAGAGAGGGAGAGAGCGGGGAGTTAGCTCTCCCTTTCGAAATACTCTCATATGGTTACGTGTATACAACCATTAATAGGGAAATCCTATTTATTGCCTTCTTATGGAAGGGGGTGTTGTTTACGAAATGAAGAGGATGAAAATCAAATGTCCAATGATTTAACTGGGTTGGTGGATAAAAAAAAATCCATCTAGAGGAGTTGAAAATTCCTCATTCCTAACCAATGGTAAACCTGGGCTTGAGGATTCTAAGAAAACAAATGGTGTATTAATCTATTTTTTGTTAATAGCTACCATGAGACTGCTCAATTGTCTTGTGGATTATACATTCAGGTCAAAGGCTCAGTCAGTGGCCTTCTAAGAAAATTACCTGCTTCGGTTTGGGCACCTGGGCAGTATCATAGCCCTCACAAAAACAAATGATAACTATTACTGACCTCATTGTTATATTGTGTGGTGCATATATATTTGGTGACCAACTGTACCAATGTTTATGTGTTCAAATAAATAAATAATTTAGTTACTAGTGAACACTCAGTTGCTATCGAGAAAAAAGGTTTTGTAAAGCCTGATCAACTACTAAATGTTATTCTTCACCATGATAGAATTTAAACATCAATGGAAGAGGATTCAAATAAGTAATACAAAAAAAATGATTTAAACTTCTCCATGAAATAATCTTATTCAATCGATTCTCAGTGGGGATCTGAAGAGTTTTGTACTAATATAGAGTAGAAATTCATTAGTTCCAGGGAAAAGCAAGGTCCTCAAACACAACACGGAGAACATATGGAACTCAAAACAATATTCAACCAACATCAAAGTCAGAATCTTCAATACCAGCGTCAAGGCAGTTCTACTGTACGGAGCTGAAACTTGGAGAACTACAACAACCACCATCAAGAAGGTACAGGTATTTATCAATAGCTGTCTACGCATGATACTCAACATCCATTGGCCGGATACTATCAGCAACAGCCTTTTGTGGGAGACAACAAACCAGCTTCCAGCTGAAGAGGAAATTAGGAAAAGACGATGGAAATGGATAGGACATACATTGAGGAAATCATCAAACTGCGTTACGAGACAAGCGCTAACTTGGAATCCTGAAGGGAAGCGGAAAAGAGGAAGGCCATAGAACACATTACGTTGGGAAATAGAAGCGGATATGAAAGGGATGAATAAGAACTGGAAAGAGCTTGAAAGGATTGCCCAGGACAGGGTTGGATGGAGAATGCTGTTGAGCGGCCTATGCTCCTTCACGAGGAGTAACAGGCGTAAGTAAGTAAGATTTTATCGACACTATAATTTGTGAATAAACCAATCAGATATAAAAGATAACGAGTCACAAATTTTTGATAAATAGACTTTTGACAGTTGGTGATGAAAACCCTAAATCTAATTCCTAATCTTAACCATCAATTGTGAATGAGAATTTTAATTGTTGTATAACCCTCATTTAGTCCTAATCAGTAAATGTCAACTCTCAAAATCACTTCAGCATTACTGAAAGGTCATCCATAAATTATAGTCTTCACTGGTTGAAATCATGAATCCATTGAAGCTAGACCATCATGGAAAACCTGGAAGCACTGGACGGCCGTTTCGTCCTAGTATGGGACTCCTCATCAGTGAGCATCTACGATCCCGCTCCTCGCGAGATTCGAACCCGGGACCTATCAGTCTCGCGCGCGAGCACTTAACCACTAAACCACTGAGCCGGCCACCATCTGACGGTTTTAATGTCTAACTTCAACCAATCCACGAAGTCGCGCCACCGCACACCATTGTCTTCAGTGAGCTGATATATCACAACAGACCTGGTTGAACTCCACTGGTAACGGCTTCTAACTAGAACTTCAGGAGTATCTCTTGAAGTCAGTCACTAGTGAGCAGATGATTATTATTATCAGAAGGGATTGTGTGGTGGTCTAGCTTCAATGGATTCATGATTTCAACCAGTGAAATTTCTAAAATCTCCACACAAACCCTTCTGATAATAATTATAGTTTTACCAAAAAGTGTTTAAAAAATATAGTGAAATTTTAAGAAGGAAAAGTGTAAATGAAAGTTAAGACTAAAAATAGAATAAAATGGTTGTACATATTACTTTTGTATATAAAAATCAGATTCAAACTATTGGAATCATTAGAGCATTTATAGAATTTGTGTATTTGATCTGTGTTTTTAAATCAATTCTATTCGAAGTTTGTACAGATGATGATGATGATGATGATGATGATGATGATGATGATGATGATGATGATGATGATGATGATGATGATGATGATGATGATGATGATGATGATGATGATGATGATGATGATGATGATTTGGATGATGATGATGATGATGATGATGATGATGATGATGATTTGGATGATGATGATGATGATGATGATGATGATGATGATGATGATGATGATGATGATGATGATGATGATGATTTGGATGATGATGATGATGATGATGATGATGATGATGATGATGATGATGATTTGGATGATGATGATGATGATGATTTGGATGATGATGATGATGATGATGATGATGATGATGATGATGATGATGATTTGGATGATGATGATGATGATGATGATGATGATGATGATTTGGATGATGATGATGATGATGATGATGATGATGATGATGATGATGATGATGATGATGATGATGATGATGATTTGGATGATGATGATGATGATGATGATGATGATGATGATTTGGATGATGATGATGATGATGATGATGATGATGATGATGATGATGATTTGGATGATGATGATGATGATGATGATGATGATGATGATGATGATGATTTGGATGATGATGATGATGATGATGATGATGATGATGATGATGATTTGGATGATGATGATGATGATGATGATGATTTGGATGATGATGATGATGATGATGATGATGATGATTTGGATGATGATGATGATGATGATGATGATGATGATGATGATGATTTGGATGATGATGATGATGATGATGATGATGATGATGATGATGATGATGATGATGATGATGATGATGATGATGATGATGATGATGATGATGATGATGATGATGATTTGGATGATGATGATGATGATGATGATGATGATGATTTGGATGATGATGATGATGATGATGATGATTTGGATGATGATGATAATGATGATGATGTCATTCAAAAGAACAATGAAATTTCCATGACTAAATCATTCAGCTTAGAGAATAAAACTCTAATAAGTAACTATCAGTATATCGTTTAACCCTTAGAATATCAAAACTTTCAATCTGGAAAAACATATATATAAAGAGTATTCAATGTTAATGTTTATTCTAATCAAAACATACTTTTCATTATTCAGATGTCTACAAATCTGTGTAACAAATATGACTTGAATAAGCTATTGAATGAACATTTATCAAACAGATAAATTTATGTCAATAAAATAAAATTCTACATTGACTTACTGGTCTTAAAGAAAAGAATAGACTTGTCAAAACTTTATCCAAAGTAAAATGTTTTAATAGGCGAAATAACTAACAATCTAGTACAAGCATTGAACTAATCCTTTCGTTCTTTTTTATTTTTTTTTCACGTTTATTATCACCTACGAAACAAAAAAACCTACTCAAAGTATCCAACATAGTTAATAGACCAAGTTTATTAACACTAATTATACTTACCTGTTTCTAACGAAACACGTATATTGATAAAACACAGATTGTTTTATGTGGATATAAGTAGTATATGACGTGACTTGTGAACAGAATGTTTGGCAGTAGAGAGAGAGTGAGAGAGAGAGAGAGACAAGAAAATCGAACAGTAAAGAATGGAAAACAGAATGCAAATTGGTATGAAAATGAAAGAACAAAGGAATTCTGAATCATTTTGAGACAAATGAATGGACATTTCGCAAATTGAGCATTTACTATATGATTGTTAGGTTATACTAACAAGTACTGTATTATGTTGTCAAATACATTTAATTGTCCCCACCCGTGTTGTGTTCACTACATATGCTACTTATATTAACATAAGTAGTATATAACCCTAGTCAGGAATATACTATCTGGTAGCAGGAGGTTAAGAAGATCGAAGTGAGAAGAACAGGAACATAAAGCACGTGGTCTGAAAAACCAGAAACAATAACCTCTGAAGAAATTTTTCAAATGAAGTATTAGAGTATGGTTTTTTCTATTTTGTAAAGTATATCATATTTGGTGTTAAATATAATCGGTTATCTTCACGTATGTTCTTCTTTATTCCATTTGAACGAATTAAAATTGACTGATATCAATGTTTATCTAAAGTTTAACTTAAATAATCTACTGGTTCTGTGTATAAGCATAAATTGGATTGAATTATTTTAATCAATTTTTTAGGTACTTGGCTGAACACATTCAAATCAGCAGTTTTAATCATCTCAGATATCAGATAACAATTATGATTTTATCAACAATTATGTTTAACAATGAGATTACCTATCATCGATGTTAGCATTCAACTATTCATATGTTAGGGAAGTTACATTCACAGAAATCATTTGAAAAACGATCTAAGTTTTTTTGGTTTTATTTAGAAAATTTGAATTGTTTCTATTTTCGCACCAAAAGCGCTCTTGTCATCTTCATGTGGTATTTAACACTGGGGAAATATCTTAAATGCTATTGATCCGCTGCGTCTTTTAGTATGCTATTTGCTAACTCTCCTCAACGACGGTTTTCTGCTGTATATATATACGTTTTGATTTGTGTTTGTTGTTATCACTCGTTTCTGGTAGTTTCCAGAATATGTTTCCCCATTCCAAGCTTCAACTTCTTCCGCTAGTTAGCGGGACTGGGACGCATCAAATAGCTAGCTTAATGGTTTTCGGTTACTGAGTCTTTGTTCCATTCGCAGTGTAAGTGAACTCGTAACATCTTCAAACCTAGCATTATAACAGCACTTTCACCAGGACAAACCATCACATGTGTATTAACAGATAGGTTGCAATATGGGTTAATTGGAGACAACTACAATGTGATCTCTGATGATGCTGTTTTCGTACACCACCATTGTCAATGGCAACACATTTTGGTGACTGTATACATCGCTATTGCTTCCTTCTTGTCACCCCCATCACATCACTACACTGAGTGGTTGTGATGACAAATAGTTTGGATTTGAGAGGTGAGAATAGAGTGTGTAAAATGTGGAGCGTTCCATGGCTGGGCGTATAAACCCTAACCAGATGCTCTGACAATCTCATCCTGAACTTCATATCTAGATTATTGGTTTTCGGTCACTGAGTGTTTGTTCTTGTTGGCTAACTAAGTGAACTCGTGATAGCTTCAAACTTAGCATCATGTATCTATTTGCTGATTCTTAACAAGTAACAATATAGTGTAACGCTAATTCATTGTTTTCTGAAGATGTATAATTACAAAGCTTGATTGATAATTGTAAACATTTATTGAAACAACTAAGGGATAAAAGTGTTTGTTTCTTACTAATTAAAAGGATTAAGTTCTTACATCTTCTTATTTTAGTCAACGAGTAAAGCACATCATTAAAATAAACATTCATTAACTAAAAATTAAGTAGTTTGTTTAGTAGTCTGGATCATATTGTAGTGAACAAGAACACTATTGGGGACAATCGAATGTATTAGGGCATAAAATTACTGAGCATCTCAATAAAATCTGAGAACCATGTAGTAAATATGCAATTTACAAAATGTCCATCAATTGTCTTAAAATGACTCAGACTTCCTTTGTTCTTGCATTTTCATACAAATTACATTCTGTTCTGTCCTCTTGTTTCTCTGGTGCCAGACATTTTATTCACGACTAACGTCATCGACTACTTATATCGATTTAAGTATCACACACCACAATATGTTTTTAAATAAAATATAACATAATGAGTTGAATAAAAAGGGATACTTAATATATTAATAGTCGAATTCATGATTCGATCTAAGTTAGATCATTATTAAATATCTAGAAGCATTGAACTGTCGTTCTGTCCCAGTATGGGAGACCTCAACAGTACGCATCCACAATTCCATACAACGAGATCAAACCCAGAACCTTCAGTTTCACATACGCATAATTTACCTTTAGATCACTGAGCTGACATTTAACAGTGTCAATGTCTAACTTCAATCATGTGTTCACTAGTGATCAGCTTCAACATGAATCTCCTGAAATTCTAGTGGAAATTCGTGACCAATGGAGTCTAATCCGTGTCAGTTGTGAGACAACTATCCACTAAATACAATGAATAAACGGTTTCGCAAGATCATGGATTGATTCAGGTTAGACATTACGATTATCAGATATTAGTTCAATGATCTAAACTTTAAGTATTCACTCGTGAAACTATAGGTCCTCAGTTCGAGGCCCATATGTAGAATCGTAAATGCATCTAGATTGAAATGACCATCCAGTACTTTCAGGTTTTCAATAATAGTTAAACTTTATCAATTCATAAATTCAACTATTGTATTAATAAATTACACTAATTGTTTGGTTGAATTCCATATTATATAAAGGGAAGAGAATAATCAGTGTCAAAATTGACTAACATTGAAAATTTCAATGGTTAAGATCATGAGTCAATTGAAGCTAGACCACCGTTTAAAACTTGGAAGCACTGGACGGCCGTTTCGTCCTATTGTGAAACTCCTCAGCAGTGCGCATCCACGAATACTCCCACCTTCGCGAGATTCGAACCCAGGACCTACTAGTCTAGCTTCAACTGACTCATGATCTTAACCATTGAAATTACTACAATCTCCACAAAACGCCTTCTGGTACCAATCAACATATGCTCATTAGTGACTGGCTTCAAGAGGTATTTCCCAGAGTTCTAGTAAGAAGTGGTGACAAGTGGAGTTCAACAGAGTCTGTTGTGAAATAATAACTCAATGATGACAATGAAGGATGTGTCGCTCAATTTCGTGGATTAGTCGACGTTAGACATTAACACTATTGGATGCTGGTCGGTTCAGTGGTCTAGTGGTTAAATGCTCGCGTGCGAAACAAGTAGGTCCAGTGTTCGAATCTGGCAGGGTGGGCGAGGTCGTGGATGCGCACTACTGATTAGTCCTATAGTAGGACGCAACGGTCATTCAGTGCTTCCAGATTTTCCATTGTGATCTAGCTTCAATTGGGTCATGATCTTAACCATTGAAATGACTACAATCTCCAGAAAACCCCTTTTGAAAAAATAATTGTTTATTATACAAAAAAAAAGAGAAATAAAATGAGACAATATGACAATCAACTTTTTGTTTCTTCTTCTTTTTTCTTCGTTTTTTTTCTCCTCCTATTTTTGTACATTATTCTACACCAAAAAAAGAAAAATGAAAATAACTTTGGGAATGAAACATTCTATACAAATTTTAATAGAATATAAATAAAGTAATTTACAAATGAATCAATCATTGAAATTTGATTTCATTAATCATCTATATAAACATGAATGTTGTTTGTTTGTTTACTTGTTTATTTATTTATTTGTCTGTATGTCTGTTTGTTTGTCTCTTTGTATGTCTGTTTATCCGTCCGTCTGTTTATCTGTTTGTTTGTTTGTTTGTTTGTCTACCTATTTGCTTATTCATTTATCTGTGTGTCTGTCTTTTTGTGTGTTTGTTTGTTTGTCTATCTATTTGTATGTCTGTCTATCTATTTGTATGTCTATCTGGTTGTCCGTTTGTCTATTTGTTTGTTATTAATTATTTATAAAAGAATTTACAGGGTGAACTTATTTGGAAATTAATTAAATTATTATTATTATTATTAATAATGAAAAGAAAAACGTTTATTAAATTCATTTCAACAATAATATACATATAAAATATTAAGGTAATTAATAAATTTAATTCTTGGGACATAAATATTTACTGTTATGATATGTAACTCTAAATAGATTGTATGATTGATTGTTATTGATAATATAGATACATATCACTAATAATAAGATAATGATTGGAGGTAGTGAACAAGAAACTCTAGAGCCCGATTTTAGGGTATTTAGCACTCGTCAATAAGGTGTACATGTAATCTTGAGGGAACTGATGCTGCCTGACGGATTTGATCCTGTGTTACTCAGCTTCACAGTCAAAGAAATTACTACTGGGCTATTCAGACCTGACCTATATGACATGGATCACCACTCAATGATCAATCGAT